CCGGGCGGGGCCGGGCAGGGCAGCGGGCGCTCGGGATGCCGGGGCGCGAGCCTGTCGTTTCCAGCCTGGAGGTCTGAAGCTGCAGCCTCGGAGCTCCTTGTTCGCCCCCCTGGGTTCTCTGCACGGGCGTCTCCCTCTTTCTCGCCCGGTTTCCCCATCGGATTCCCAAGAAACCCCGCTCAGGGCCGGGGGACGTGCGTGGACACCTGCCCCGAGCGAGCCAGGGCGGACCGAGGGGCGCGGCGGGCTGCGGGCGCCCTGCCCACGTTCGGGCGCCCAGCGCCTTGCTTAGTCTTCGTCTTAGCACCGGGAAGCCAGTTGTGGCGACTCGTGCCTCCGCCTTGGCCGGAGGACGTGCTCCCGGACCGGGTTCTTGTTTGGGGGGCGGGCAGGGGTAGGTCTTTGGCCCGCTGTGGTCCTGTTGTGCTCCTTTCCAACTTCCTGGCTCCTTTCCAGTGAAGGGAAACTGGGGCTTGGGGCGGGCGGGAGGGGGCACCTATACCTGTTCAGTTCTGAAATAATGACTCCCCTTCCTTCAGTCTGTGATTCTCAGAATTTCATACAACACAGGGGCTGTCAGTTACCTCTCCAGGGGGAAGACAAAAGCAGAGCAATAGAAGGAAACTTGGGTCGAAATACATTCCTCCTCTTGAAAACATTAACCAGGGACTCCCTCCCTCCGGGTCCTGCCCAGTCTGTCCAGCTCTCAAGGGGAAACAGGACAGAGAAATTCAAAAAAGGCAAAACGTTTGTCTCCTTCACTGAGGCTGTGAACCCAATTGTCAAAGTGTCTTTTTGTCAGCCTTCAGAGGTTTCTAAGAAGCAACTTGCTAGTTGTTGTAGCGGCCCTCTGCCTGCACGAGGTTCGCACCTGAGGGCTTTCCAGTAATTCGGAAGTACCTTGGTCTGTATGTGTCTCTTCATTCGTTAATACTAGGTGGTTTCACTGCCTCCATAATTCTGTGTGAGCCCTCCTGTCCTGGCTAAAGGCGCTGAGGGACATGGACACACTTACTGCCCACCCCAAAGACCTCCCCCCCCAGCCAGGGCCCTGGTATACTTTCAATCTCTGCTTTCAGAAGATAAATTTTAACAAGGCGTGTTAATGGTAAAATGTTAGTGTTTCAGTAGATGAACCTTTGTTTTTAGAACCAAAGTTTAGCTTTTTTTTGAATTATTTATCAGGCCTAGTGCCCAAAGGCCTTCCAAAGAGGAGGCGAAGGCTTTACCTGCATTTATTTAAAGCATATGTTCAAGAAATAGTTCAAAACTGGCCTTTTGGAAAACAACTAATAACTGTATCTGTCCCCACCCACCTTTTTGCCTGCAAAAACTGAAAAACAAACTAAGAACTAATTACTTTCATAGAAAACTGTACCCAGTTAACAGTTCACTGAAATATTGCCTGCATTCCTGCTAAGCTCCTCCTCCTCCTTAAGTATAGTACAGTTTGGTAATATACAGCACATATTTACACACCATGTAAATATACATATGCACAAGGGTAGATGTTTACGTACATAACGTAACAAAACATATACATACCCCAACTGAATACATTTGCAGAGAACGTGCCCATGTGCAAGGCACCAAACTTTGGCGATTAACAATACGTTTGTATAACAGAGAGTCTGAAAGTAAGAGGAAATGAGTCAGTCTTCTTCATACTGGGAAAAAATTTCAAAATTTCTTTTGAAATGTGAACTGTGCTTATTGTAGGTGGCATCACAGAAAGTAAAAAATAGACCCATATTCCTATTTTAAACACACTGCATTTGAAAGTGCTGTGAATTTAAATAATGTGTTTTATGTAGAATAAAAAAAGCAGTATGCTTTAAAAGGCACATTTAAAAGGTAAACACACAACCTAATGTCGGGTAGATATTTTTTGACTTTTTCATATACAATTTTCATATACAAATCTAATTCTCGGAACACACAATTTAATTTAATACATTGAAAGAGAGTAGTTTTATTTGCTACTCTACTGTAAAGAATACATTTGTAGCTATTTTTATGGGCCTATATATACATTGAAAGATATTCAGTAGTCTAGTGATAATTCAAAACATACAAGCAAATTTGAAGCACATATTTGTACTTGAGATGACTTGTATGAATGTGAGATGACATGTTACTTATTTGCTACTTTCATATAGTATTTTCAATCTATAAACTTTCAAAAGATTTTCTTTTGTTAAAATAAAGATTATCATTAAAATGAACATATTGGCATTTGTTGGCAAGACTCCAAATGCTCATTTGTGCTGATGTAAATGGAAAGAATGTGTAACTCGAATTTTACCTTTTAAAAACTATCTGCGTTCATTGATACCTGAATCAACGTGATAGTTTGGAAGTTTTCTTAAAACTGTGATAAAAGGAACTCTCTTATGTAATGAGTTATTTTTGCTGATGTTATAAAATATTGTTTTATTTTTCTCATGTTTATATAAAACTATATTTCTTTGCTGAAAAATATATCTGATGTTCCTGATGATGCTTGTCCCCCTGTGGAAATTATTGTTATTTAACTTCAGAGGCTAGAATTTAAAAGACCGATGGTTCACTGGTGTTTCTGAATATTTGTAAAGAGCTGGTAAAAACAAAAATCAGGTTAGCCCAACTACTTTTTGAGTTTTGTTTCTTAATCACTTAAAAGGGTTGAAGTTAAAATGGTGGAAATGCCACAAGTGAAAATTTAAAAAGAGAAAAGAAAAGGGGCAAACAGAGAAAAGACTATTATTTCAAAATCAGTTAAGTCATTTTTCTCTAGTTGGGGGTTCAAGATCAACTGGAAAAATGTTAGTCTTTATTTTAACAAGTTTCCCATCTGATGGTGTGTCGGGATCCGAGGAGACATGGGCTGTGTAATGACTAAAAACTGCACAATGTTCATTCAAAAATTTGGTTGAAGTCATTCACTACCGAATTATAAAATAATCTTTTCTGTCAATTTAATTAATGAAAGGGGTAAAGGACTACTTTACTGGCTCAAATTACATATGCACAAAGATTTGTAAGAATAAATACTTTGGCATTCTGTGGCCTAAAAGCAGACAGAACTATAATATAGCAAATAAACCTCCCCAGAATGTAGGCATCCAAGATTCAATTTCATTAAAAAATCTGGCAGTTAAAGAAAAGAAGGAAAAATGCTTATTAAATCAGGGTAACTATAAAATGTTGACAGATCTCATGTTTCGTATCCAACTAGGCCCTCAGAAGGCTGCTGGGACATTGGT